GTGTATTGCCTGCATGTAGGTAAGTGCACCTATGTCATGCAATGCCTGTGGAGAACAGAAGAGGCTGTTGGATCCCCTGAGACTGGAGTTATGGACAGTTGTTAGCTGCCATGTGGGTGCTGGGATTGGAACCTGGGTCTTCTGCAAGAACAACCAGTGTTCTTAAACTGCTGAGACATCTCTCCAGCCTCCGTTACTTTCTTTAGGTTTTGGTGACTTACTGAGTTTAATTAGGGTTGCTTGCATGAAAATGGGTGGGGGGCATGAAACTCAGATTCTTAGACTGCAGTTAAGAACTGAATGTAGGCGGTTGGTCACAGAAATTGTCAATACTAAAAGGTTCTCCATGTGCGATGACCAAAACTAAATTCTAAACAGAATGCATCCTGGGTGTCGGGTGTTCCTGCCGGCACTTGCCGTGTTGACACTCAGATTCACTGCAGCCTCGGTTCTGAACATACAACGTGCACAGTGCATATGCTGTCATACCACACTCCTGCCTGAACACACTGGTTAGAACTGAGACTGCTGTATGTTATGAATTGCAGTGTTTTTACTGTACATATAAAGTTTTCTGCTCTTACAGAGATGATTTGATTACGGAAAACAAAGACTTTTAATATTTTCTCACCATCATCCTTGGCATTAAGTATCAGATCGGTGTACATCTGGATTGTATTGGGGTAGGAAATTTAAATTTTAAATTTGCCATTTGATTTGCTGGCTTGAGTCACGCACGTATGCACACACACACATACGTGTGCACACACACCATGTGCACACACGCACACACAATTCATTAACTGGGCAATGGCACCTCAAAGACCTGCAGCCCAGGAAGCAGAGGGAGACTAGGAAGTGGGCTGGGCTCAGCGACCTGCTTCCTCAAGTGGGGCTCCACCTCCTACCTTCCCAAGGAGGACCACCAGCCGGAGAGCCAATGTTTGAACATATAAGCCCATGAGGGGCATTGTACATTCAAATCACTACAGAGGCCCCAGTTTCTCATCTATAAAATGTGGCTAGCAGTTCCGAATGATTATTAATGAATTAAGGATTTGTGAAAAGAACCTAATATAATAATGAAGAACATTGGTTGTCACACTTGGTGATTATAGTTCAAAGACATCAGGAGTCTTAATAAAGGACCAGGGCGTGTCCAGGTAAGAGCTTTATGGGATGTCAGTTGGGCACAGTAACTTGGATTATGGTCAGTAATAGAATTAGCTAATCAGTGGGTGGGCTTGTAGCAGAGGTCGATTTGTCACCCATTCAATACCAAGGAGGAGAATTAATTTCTAATAAAATAGGTCTTGTGGGGTCCTGGAATTGGAATGTTAGACTGCTTTTGGATGCTTTTTCTACTTTTTTAAAAAAATATTATTTTTATTTTATGTGTATGAACGTTATGCCTGCGTGTAGGTAAGTGCACCCGTGTCATTGCAAATGGAGGACAGAAGAAGCTGTTGGATCCCCTGGAACTGGAGTTACAGACAGTTTGCCATGTGGGTGCTGGGATTTGAACCTGGGTCTTCTGCAAGAACAGTCAGTGTTCTTAACTGCTGAGCCATCTCTCCAGCCCCTGCCCCTTTAAAAAAAATATTTTAGCTTTTTCTACTTTTAACAGCCTTGTATGGCCGTTGAAGAGGGTGCAGGCACTACACTATTAAATGCATTTGGTCATCTGTTTAGAAAGTATTGTAAATTGCCTATCCAGTGACAGTGCTCTGCTGAGAAGGCCCAGGGGACGACGGGAATAATACAGAGGCCGTCTCCGCCTCCTCTTTTATGGAAACAAGTACGTTTGCGTATTGCATCTGTGTTGTGCACTGTAGCACAGGGTGCTGGCGATGCATCTGAGGGGGACTGAGCTAATCCCAGAGGTGGTTAGCAGGATGTTTATTGGCATCTAGAAGGTGATACAAGTTAGTTGAGTAAAAAAGGGGGCAAAAGAGCATGTGCAGAGGTTCTGAGTTTGAGGAGCCCAGGGCTCCCAGGATGAGAAGATGGCCACTGTGCTTGGACAGCAGAGATCAGCACTGCAGACTGACAGCCGATGCAGACACAGGCCAGAAGGACAGGGCCTTTTGGGTGACATTAAGCAGATTGCATTGTGCCTTTTTGTTTTGTTTTGCTTTGGAGACAGGGTCTTGCTGCGTAACCCAGGATGCTATCCAACCCACCGTCCATCCTCCTGCCTCAGCTTCCTGATGATGACATGCGTGCTCCAGCACACCGGGTGGATTTTGCCTTCTTTAAAATAAAGGTAGCTGATACATCCAACCTGGCAGAGTGAAATGGGAGCACCCAGCCCCAAAGCCATTCCTGGGTCCCAGATGCAAAATGACAAGGGTTTACTAAGGCTGGCCACGGCCAGTGGAGGGGCCCAGACTGACTTGAGAGACTAACAGGTTACTTTTCACAGAGCAGAGAAGGTAACGGGTTTTGTGTTATGAGGAACGACCTCTTGACTAGTTTCTGTTTTGTATTGAAGTATCGCTCAGTGAAGTCACTCAGAGCGTTGACATGTCTTATGAGCACTGGAGCATATTCTATTTAATAGTCTTCTCAAGGAGGCTGTAGAGATGACCCAGTGGTTAAGAGCACGGGCTGCTCTTCCAGAGGACCTGGGTTCAGTTCCCAGCACCCACAGGGTGGCTAACACCCATTTGTAATTCCAGTTCCAGAGGGCTCCGATGCCTTCTTCTGGCCTCCATGGGCATTGCATGTACATGGGTGCACTCACACACATGCAGGTAAAATACACACACATAAAAAAATAAAAATAAGTAAATAAAAAATTAAAAATAAAAATAGAAGTCTTCTTAAGCCCAGCATGGAATTTCTTCTCAGCAGCTTTGACAAGCACTTGTGCATTCCATTGGTACTTGAAAGAGAAGAGCAGACCTTGGGGGCTGGACCCAGTTGGCCCAACGCTGGACAAGGCCACTCAGGGACCACAGTGGGTCTAGTCACAAGAGACAGGCAGTAATTGTGTTTGAACACAGCAACGGAAACTTCATCCAAGCCACCCATGGTTACACATCCCAGACCCTGGCTAATGGAGTATGTGTTGCCTCTTTAAACAGCTGCCTCTCTTCAACCTCCTCACCTTCTAGGAAAGAACTGGGAAACCCAGTCACAGAATTACCTCACTTCTTGATAACGTCTAATCCAGAGCAAAGCCTGCTTTCTGGAACTCTCCCCAACTCCATCTCTTACAAGCCCAAACATGCTGTCTAACACCTCTTAGCAAAGACCATGGTCCCAGCGCATGGTGCTCTTCTCTGTTGAACAAGAGAATTCTCGGTTCAGCTGTGCTGTGTTCTCACTGGTCTTGGTCTAGAGAGGCTGACAAGTGTAAGGAACAATCCAGGTTTTATTCACTTCTTCGCTTTTACTACTAGAAGAAAAGTAGTGAAGTTTTATGTCCTGCAGTATCATATAGTTGGGTGTCTTCTAATTCCTTTTGTGATACCTTGATATCCATTAGGTCACAACTTTCGACCAGGCGTCTTGTTAACACCCTCGAATCCAGTGCTCTCTTCTTTTTTTCTTGCCCTCCCTCCCTCCTCCCTCCCTCCCTCCCTCCCTCCCTCCCTTCCTTCCTTCCTTCCTGTAGCTGGCCTGGAACTCTCTGTGTAGACCTCTCAGAGATCTGCCTGCCTCTGCCTTGTCTGGGATCAAAGGAATGTGTCATCACCAGTTCTCTCCTCTTCTCCTTCCTGCTCCCTCATTCCTCCTCCTCCTCCTCCTCCTGCTCTTCTTCCTTCTTTGACAGGGAGCTCTTACTGTGTGGCCCACACCAGCCTCTAACTCTTAATTGACCTGCCTCAGCTTCCTGAGTGCTAGAATTATAGGCACGGCCACCCCTGGCCATCAAGCTTATATATCAAGGAAAACATAGTCATTTTTTTCATATGGAAAAAACCATTATGCTAATTGATGGTAAGAAGTCTAACTATTCTAATGACTCAGCCAAATCACATTGCTTGTTGGTCATTACGAGACTTTAGTTTCTGTAGCAACTGTGGCTTTTTCCTGCGCTCAAGACTCACAGTTTGTCCTCATCTGGGAGGCAGTTCCCACAGGAACTGGGGCCTCCTGTATCCATGGGTTCATGGACAGATGATGCTCACGACCCGTTCCCTGTGTGTGGGCAGGCTGCTGAATCTGATGTCTCACATTCGTTTTCTATTAGCTAACTCTGCATGTAAAATCCTGTGCTCAGCAGCACTTACACACAGTTGACTTGGGACGGAGTTTTGGAGGACTTTGGCCATTTCTAGGTACTGTCACTAAATGGTTCTCAGTGTCTGAGGGGTGCTGTGGGGAGACAAGCCACAGTGTTAGAAACTTTACTTTTGAATGGCCCACCTCAATGCAACTTGAAGTACACACCGCTGAAGGAGAAATTTGGGGAG